AACTCGACTCCAGTTAACTTTTGTTGAAATTCACGTAACTCGAATTGTACTATAGTTACGCAACTAGAATTGCCGGAACGAATCTGTATCAGTTTGTTACAAATTATTGTTATATTTGTTCGTACATCCAAGATAATTAGTATTACTTAACTTAATAGGTAGTTATATATTATTGGTTTACGTATAGACAATCTTCATAAAATAATATCACTCTAACTTTATGACGCAGTGTAAAGTTAATGTTATTAATAATGAAACTATAACGAATTATATTTAACAGTGATGGAGCCACGCGGCAGCTTTGCTGTCGCACGGATGGGCCGGCTCGAACCGGGGTGGTACCACGACCTCACAGAAAACCAGCGTGAAGTAGCGGTTTACCTCTGCGTTTCGCCTGGTGAGTGCAGGGGGCCGGAGGCCCTTTTTACGGGAAATGAGGCATTCCATCTTAGTCCTCACGGGTCACAACGCATCTACATTTTGATTTGTAATAGGGGATAGATGTAGATGTCTATGGGCCGCAGCAACCACTTACCATCAGGTGGACTGTGTGCTCGTTTGTTACCCTTATCCTATAAAAAAAAGAATTATACTTAATCAGCTTATTGATATTACATAATATATCAATAAATTGCTCGAATTAGTAAGTCGAGTTCACTACTAAATAAGATAAAGATGCGACTCGAGTAGAATTTTGTGACTCGAGTCACTCGGGTTTTATCATGTCACTTCAGTTATACTCGAGTTGTTGAGTTATTCGAATTAACTATTTACAGTCCCTGCATCGATTGAAGTTTATCACTCGAGTTGAAAACAGCGATAACCTTAGTTAAAGCATTTTTAAATAGGTATCTTTACTAAATTAGTAATATGTGGCAATATGAAATAAAATACAAATATTTATTATTTATTTTTTTGTAGTATTTCCATGTTTTTTATTTACTACAGACATGTGTAGTATTTCAAAATCTATAAACTGCTTTTCGCATATCTTACAAACCGCTTCCATTTTTTCAAAATAATGCCACACTGGCAATTTTTGTTTTGTTGCATTGTTATCATTCGTACTTTAAACACACAAGTATATTTAAATTACCTTTCATGTAATGCACTACTTATACGAATACAAATCAAACTAAGTTCATATTTGACTACAACATGCCTAGGGTTACCATCTGACCGGATAAAGCCGGTCTAGACCGGATTTTTACGTGTTAGACCGGACTCCGCCCGGATTTTACGTCAGACCGGATTTTTGTCATACTTGCATGTCCTTTCGCCCGCTCAAGTGACGGGTGCCGCACTGTTCGGGCGCGGGCGGCGCGGCACCCCGTCCGTTACCCTCCCTTGCATGATTGCATCGCACGGACGGACCGCAAATTAATGTAAACAAAGCTACTAGTGTTTATTTCTCGTCGTAAGCACGCATCGTAATAATGGCGTCCGCAAACAAAAAACGTTGTAAATTCACGGATGTGTTAAAATCTAAATATCCTTCTTTTACTGAGGGTAGAAATGACCAAGACGTGAAGTGTGCTATTTGTGATTGTTTTTGTCGATTGAATACAAAGGTGGAGCTGACATAGAAAATTATTTAAAAACAGAAAAGCACTTAAAGAAGAACCGATTGCGCGCCAGTACAAGTAAGATTGATACTTTCATTACCCAAAAAGGTAACAAAAGTAGTGCTGTTGATGCCACGCTTGCTTTTCATGTAGTTAAACACCACCAATCTTACAAAAGTATGGACTGTACTTCGCAGTTACTAAAAAATCTATATCATGATTCTGATTTGGAAAAAACTCTAGCCTGCGCAAGGACCAAAACAGAGGCTATTACAAATAATGTCATTGCGCCGTATACTATCGAAATTCTTCTTAAAAAACTAGAAGACATTGTGTTTTTTGGATTGTCAACTTATGCCAGTAACCACAAAGCTGATAAAATATTTCCGATAATCATTCAATACTTTGATTGGAAGAATGGCATGGAAAGCAAAATGCTTGAGTTTACATCCTTGGAAAATGAGACTTCGCTGACTATTGCAAATTACTTGCTTGCAACTCTTGAAAAATACAATTTAAAAGGTAAATCTGTTTCTTTTACGGGTGACAATGCTAATGTCAACTTTGGAGGTGTTACACGAAATGAGGGAAATAACGTTATCACCCATTTGAACCGGAATCTAGAGCAAGAGATAGTAGGTGTCGGTTGTCCTGCTCATATGTTACATAATGCAATACGCCACGCAACGGATTTGTTAGACATTGACGTTGAATCGTTAGTGATGAAAATCTTTAATTATATTTCGGTATACACTATAAGAACAGAAAAGCTAAAAGAGTTGTGCAGCTACATAGATATAAACTATGAAAAACTCCTTTATCACAGCAAGACAAGATGGCTTAGTCTTTTTCCAGCTATAGAAAGGATTCTCAAACTAAACGAGCCATTGAAGGAGTATTTTACAACAACGGAAAAAGTACCTGTTCTGATAAAAAAGTTCTTCGAAAATGAAACTAGTGAGATATATTTGTTCTATCTGCATTCTCTAATGGCTATATTTCACAAAAGGATTGCTTCGCTAGAAAAAGAGAAAAACTCAATCGCCGAAGTCCTCAGTGCATTAAATGGAACGACAAAGTCACTCAATCAAAGAATCTAGCAAAATTTCATTCCTTTGAAAGTACGAGAGCTTTTTCAGAAACACAATATTACCGCAGCTGACCAAACGCAGATAAATAGCGAAATAAAACAAATGTACGAAGAATGTATCAACTACATAAACCTTTGGATAACACCCTTACAATCCTTAAAATGCTTCGAATGGATGTGTTTAAAGAAAGATCTACAATTTGAAAAAATCACAGATGCTCTAGTGTTTTTGAGGGACAAAGGAATTCCTGTAGATGACGCAAAACTATTTGAAGAGTTCTGCCTGCTTAAGAATTTTCTGAACACAAAACGAGCTCTTTATGACGAGCTCGCTGAAAAGCAATGGTGTATCTTTTTTAATACAATTAACGACAGCTCAAGAGTTTCAGAATTTCTGAAGATTTCTCAATATTTCTTTAGTATTTTGCCACACAACGCAAATGTGGAGAGAGTCTTTTCTCTCATGACTTCTCAGTGGACCAAAGAGAGAAACAGACTTTCAGTGGAGACAGTGAGAGCCATATTGCTTACGCAATATAACTATAAACACGTGATGTGTGAACAATTTTATTGCGAAATAGCTGGAAAAAACAACTTTTTGCATGCGATTGCTAGCAACCAAAAATATGGGTCTAAATAATATACGTAAATAAAAACGTACTTAAATACTATGATTTTTATTTAATGCAGGTGCGTGACCGGACTTTTTTTTCAAAATCATGATTTTTAGACATGTCAGACAGGATTTTGCATTTTTAGGCCTGGTAACCCTACGTGCAACAGCAAAAGCCGCTGCGTGGCTCTACCACCGTTAGAACTCCTGATTAATTAATAATATCAATAAAAAGATTTTAATAAATAAACGTAATATAAGCATAAACTAAACGCATTTATGTTTTTAGAAGTTGCCATATGTAAAATAACACAAATATCGAAGCGATAATTATTTATTTAGAAATAGAAATAACTATATATAATTAAACACTTATATATTTTTTTCTGCGGGTAGGTATAGAAAGTCAACATCTGTTTTAAGTGCTCCTATTTATAATTTTAAATTATTTTAATTTGTAGAATTGTTAGGGGTAAATTCTTCGACAAATACTTTAAGAAAAGAGGTCTTTATGTATTTAACCCTTACATTGGCATGTGCCCTGGAGATCACGGGAATTTTAATAAAATGTTTTGTTATAATTATTTTCAGTTTTAAAAAACTTTCATTACTTATGATTTAGCTTACTTCAAAAATATACAGAAAAAAAAAATTCAATGTGTCAAAAGTAACGTTTGCTGTCATTGCGAAACAAAATGTCAGGAGGGTCGAGTAGTCGCCGGCGCATTGAGGTAAATAATAATAAAAATATCCTAGTAGATCTATTAACTTCATTGTTTTTCAATTTGAAATTTATAGTAGGAACATAAAACTTCTCATATGTAGTATTTGCATAAATTATAATTATTTATAAGGTAATTTTTATTGCGTCGAAATTCAGTTGTGCCTTGTAGGGCACCTTATTAGGTTACCTGAAATTGTATGTTGTGCCTTACAGTGCACACGTTCACTTAACAGAAAAGTGTTTATGTGCCTTACAGGGCACTTAGCCAGTTAATAGTACTTCTCTTGTGTCTTTTGTAGGTTACTTTAATAATACTTTTTCACCGATATTGCCCATGCTTTTACATTCCTCCAGCTTTTTTTTTGTTTTGAGATGGTCATAAAGCTGGAAATAGTGTTACACTGACGTCAGTCACATATATATATATATATATATATATATATATATATATATATATATATATATATATTAGCAATAGTTTCAATAGTTTAGACGTACATATATGCTATAGTTTTTTGTGCACAATTCTTTGTAAAACTGATCAGCGACCGAAGTCAGAACAACATTATTTCCAATCGAACGCTGTCGATTGCTGACAGTACGAGACTGACGTCAGCGTAATACTATTTCCAAACTAAGTTACTTTTTTTTATATTTTCAGCGCATAATGTCTTTCGTTCTACCTGATAAAGCTAGCGAAGAAACTTCTGATTCAGATGATGCTCAGAAATTCGTCACTACAAACATATATAACAGTAAAACTGTTAGTGAAACTGAAAGTGAAGATGAGATTTCAGTATCCCCAAAAGCTATGATAGTTCCTTCTTTGAGTCTAAACTATGTTAGATCCAGTCAAGCTACGGTTCATCAAACCTCTGCTGTCCAATGTTTGAATTCTGTTGAATATCCATATAGTTATGATCCTTATTTGCCGCAAATACACAGTGTTTCGGAACAATTATTCGGAATTTACCATCAGTGTCATCCTGTTATGAGACCCCATCTATAATGGATCAAAATATGCTATCTGAAATCGGTATCATTGAGTCACCTTACACGCAAAACAAAGAAAAAACTGATGAGATATTATCAAGCCCTTGTCCTAACTTTCTGGATGATTTCTATTTGAACAGTGACTGTGAGATAGAAGATGTAGCGAAATCGACTCGTAAGCAAAAACTAGTAGCTAAGACGTCTACTTCAAATAAAAGAATTAAAAAATCTGCTGAACTTGCGGAAATTACGCCTAAACGAAGGTCTCTTCGTCAGAAATCTTTGATTTCTCAAACGCAAACTCAAAATAGTCCGAAATTATATATACAAGCTTCATCTAAAGATTCCTGCTACCATCATTCACAAACCAAACCCACAACAACTAATACAAATAGTAAAAGTAGCAATAAAGCAAAAACAGACCAAAATTTATATAAATCAAAAACTAAAACGATTTTACGGATCCATAACAAAAAAGAATACACTAATACGACTAAATCAACCTCATTAACAGATAAACTTACAACTAATAAAACAAGTAAAGCTATTGGTCTTTGTGAATGGGTAGGAAAAGAACTTGCTTATGGAGTACAAAACTTAAAGGAAAACCAGTTTACAACTCCTAATGAAGTTGGCAGCCCTTTAGAATATTTTTATAAATTTATTGACGAAGATTTAATACAGTACATAAGAGATCAAACAATTTTGTATGCGTACCAAAAAGATTCCAAAGAATTAACGTTGAGTACACAAGATATCAAGGATTTTTTTAGTGTTGAGATATTTATGGGTATTATCCAGTTACCCGCGTATGTTGATTATTGGTCTAAGGATTTTAAAGTAGATTGTGTTATAAATGTGATGTCCCTCAAAAAATATCAGTTAATAAGACGTTATCTCCATTTCAATGACAGTGAAGTTGAAAATGAGAGCAATGACCGTTATTACAAAATTCGCCCTCTGTTTGATAAAGTTATATCCAACTGCAGAAAGATTGAAGAAGAAAGTAGAATGTCCATTGATGAGATGATGGTACCGTATAAAGGGAAGAAGTCAGGTGAATTAAAACAATACATAAAAACTAAGCCTAAAAAGTGAGGGTACAAAATGTTTGTTAGAGCAGGAGTCTCTGGTATAGTGTATGACGCAATTCTATATGGTGGACAGTATACTTTTTCGGGAAGGGATTTTAGTGATTATGAAAATACCTTGGGATTGGGTGCCAAAGTTGTCCTTTCTTTATGTCGTACGATAAGAGATCCCGTACTAACTGTGGTATACTTTGATAACTATTTTTCAAGCGTCGAGTTAATGCACCATCTACGAAACGAACTGGGTATCTTGTCGATTGGCACATTTCGACAAAATAGAACGAGAGGATGTATTCTGAAGGATGGCAAAGAAATGAAGAAGATGCCTCGAGGATCGGTGGATATGAAAGTTTGTGATGAAAAAAAAATAGTTTTAGTGAAATGGTTTGATAATAAAGGAGTTTTGCTAGGTAGAAACTACACCGGCGTTGAACCAATGGGTGTATGCAAACGATATTTCAAGGATAAAAAAGAATATCGAGAGATTCCTTGCCCAAACATCGTAAAAGAATACAACAAGCACATGGGCGGTGTAGACTTAGCCGATATGTTAGTGGCTATTTACCGGACCATCTACAAAACAAATAAATGGTATATGCCTATTTTTTCTCAGCTGTTGGACGTGGCTATAAATAATGCATGGCTTTGGTACAGAAGGGAATGTGGCCTCAAGACTGGCGTCGACGATCATATTGCTTTGAAAGCATTCCGTTTTAAAGTGGCACAAGAAATGAGTTCATATATTCCAAAAGCACTGGCTGAAAATGTCGAGCCTCCGAATCGAGTAAACCAACGCCGCATAATTAGCAGGCCTATCGCAACTCGACCAGAAGCAGAAAGTCGATATGACGGTAAAGAGCACTTTCCTAAAATCACAACAAAAGGCCGTTGTAGACTTTGTGTGAAAGGAAAAACTACTTTCTTGTGCATAAAATGTAACATGCGTCTATGTATTCAACAAAATCGCAATTGTTTTTATACTTTTCATCAAAAAGAACAAGAAACATAGCAATAAAATATTTTTATTACTCTTTAGCCCTTCAGTTAAATTAGAAAATATACTTAGCTGCTAATTTACTTAGCTTATAAAAAATTTAGAACCTTTACTTGATTATTGATCTCAAAAGTGTGTACTTTCATATGTAAGCATTTTTGTAAGCAGAATATTTATTTTTTGTTGTATTTTTATATCCTTTATGGCGTTTGATCTCAGATTAAAATAATGATATAAGTAAGGAGGATTTAATAATTTTGTGAAGTATATTTTTATAAGATTTATGATGTTTTATCTTACATCAATAAAAAATCTCAGCACTGTTAATTCCACAGGTTTAGTAGTATATTTTTACTAAAATTTAAAAATATAAATCAAAAAATTTATTGCTAGTTAGTCGGCAATGTGCTCTACAGGGGACAGGAAAATGCCGATTTAATTTTCTGGAGACATAGCGAAGTGCCCTCTAGAGCACATATGATTTTCCAATAAATAAACAAAAAATATTTTTTCTATTATTTTTTAAGATGCTTTTGTTACTAATATATTACAAATAAATAGTTTTTTCCGTCAAAATCGTCTTTTTGTGTTTTGCCAATCTAAGGGTTAAATAATAATTTATCTATGTAAACAAGGTTTTAATTTTAATAACTTACTGCATCACCCATCAGTAACACTTGTATTTCCCACCATTAAGCACTGTTACATTACAATTACAATATGGCAAGCATCAACAATGTAGACAAAATACAGAAAGAACTGGAAGTCAGCTGGACGCAAAAGATGGCAGAATTCGAAGATCGTCTGAAGGCTGCACTGGTCCCTTCCAATCCAACGTTAGTGCAGCTAAGTCAAGAATTTTAGGCATTCAAGGATTTGGTCAAACAAATTTTTAATCTACTGCAACTGCATGTCAGAAGTTGTATAAACACAATTGATGGACTTGACATGCGACACCGGCAAAACATATTGCTGTACAATGGCATCCCAGAGGACTCTGAAGTAAGCTTAATTAATAAGGTTCTAAGTTTAATACATAACAAGATGGGTCTTTCCGATGTGAGTAGCTCCTCGATCAAACGGTGTCACAGATTGGGATCGCAAGGTAAAGATCAAGCTAGAGCAGTCCTCGACCAATTCCATGATCACCACACAAAATCAGTAGTTTGGAAGTCTAAGGCCAAGTTAAAAGGTACGTCTTTCACATTATTTGAGTTTCTCACAAAGATACGTCAAAATATTCACAAGCAGGCCAGGAAGCACTTTGGCATGAGGAATGTGTGGACGCTTGATGGCACAGTATACATTAAATTGCCTGATAGTAGTCGTGCAAAAGTAACTTCAGAGGAAGACTTCAATAATCTTGCCTCCAAGTACTCGCCAGGATGTTCTCTTTCTAATGCAACACCTCCAAAAAACGAAGATGGCACAGGTAATCTATCTGGTGGATCACAGCAAAGTACATCTAAATGTAATCGTCAACAAGAAGTGGTCCCACGCTGTAAACGGGCACCATTGGGTTCAAACAAAGAAGACAAAGGGTACGTCGTGTTGTGACCAAAAAAAATAATGGCATTAGAGATATTTTCAAACGCTTTCTTATAATTGTAACGATTCATTAAAATAATTAAATTTTACTTTCATCATCATCATCATCATTACAGCCCTTCACAAGTCCACTGCTGAACATAGGCCTCCCCCAAAGAATGCCACAAAGCACGGTCCTGAGCCACCTGCATCTATCGACTTCCTGCATGTCTTACCAGGTCGTCACTCCATCTCGTGGGGGGGACGCCCTACACTTCGCCTACCAGTACGAGGCTGCCACTCGAGAACCTTTCTTCCCCATCGGTATTTACTTTATTCAGTCTTAATTTGCTTGATATTATTCAAGCTTTTTATTATTGTATTGTTTAACGGTATCATTACATTATATTTGTCTTCTTTGTTTAATTAATTTAACTATTAAGGATTTAATATTATGTATTATCTAATTTGTACTTTATATAACCTCTCGAGCGCCCGGCCTCCCTTTTACGGTGGACATTTTTAAGCCCGATAAGCGCCCATCGACCGTTATACGGTGGTCACGTAGTTGTCTCAAATAATATTTAAATTACAGGCTAAAACAATGTTTGTCTCTTTCTAACGTATACTATATTGAAGCCAAGGAAACGTTTAACAGATCTAATAGACAAACATATAGTTTCGACGATTGCTAAAACAAACATTCAGCTAAACTTATTAGTAGGTGATGTCATATCGCTTCGAACGTTAGTCATATTTTGTGGAGTGAATTTATTGTGTTGTGATTTGAGTAATGCGGGAAGAAAGTTTTTGGTAAGTAGCTAATGTTATTAATAATATATGGTAATATTATTTTCATTATAGTTTTGCAACTAAGAACCTGTTTTACAATATTTAGATTAGTCCATGTGCCTAGTCAAACAAAACCGTTACAAAAATTGTTCTAGATTTTTAAAAATAAGAATTTATTCTGCTAAAATTTTTCTTTTACTGGGAGTAACTATCATGAACTATTGTTATATGATAAAAAAAGATATAGACAGTGCTTTAAATAAATCTAAATAACAAAATTATAAGACGATGTTTAGTTTAACCGTGATACGGTGGCGGGACGCGGATTGAATTCATATTGAATATATGAATTCATAATGGCGGCGAAATATAAATTTACAAATGAACATAGAAATCGTGGAGACACCTTAAAATATTTTTAGTCTAATAAGTTGGTATTTAAATTTATAAAATTATATATTGCAATTAAATTTTTCATAAAGCTAATTGTTTGTTTATTAATTTAGGTATGGTTACAAATTGACGGCTACGTGGCGCAGTGGCTTAGCAATGAGTTGCTGCGCTGGGGGCCGCGGGTTCGAATCCCGCACGGAACAAGTAATTGTATGGCCTACAAATAATTGTTCCGGGTCTGGATGTCTGTCCTTGTGCAATTTGTGTTTGTAAACCGCCTCTACGATACGGGAGAAAATCCTAGTGTGGGGGTAACGTTTTAAAAAAATAAATTAAGAAACTAGTTATAATAGGCATTATTTGGTAGTACATACCTAATGTAAGGATACCTATTTTATGTACCTATATTATTTTATTTTTACTTAATGATTAAATACTTTTTTAAATTGTTTTCAGATTTAGATATAGCAGGATAAGATATACTATGACAGTATTTCTATATGTCGTAAGTATTTCACACTGATATTTTAACAAGTTCTACTTGCGTAAGTAAGTAAATACATTTGTAATTGAAATTTTAACACGTTATTCAGGATTTTAGCAATGCAGAAATAAGGTTTTCTAGAAACTACAAAAGGTGCACGTGTTTATTAGCGCATCGTTTCATATTTACGCTTATACATTCCACACGCAATCATGTTGTTTTTTGGCGGATAGCATTATTATTATGCTTAGTGAATGGTTTTATGTTTTGCGCACAAAAATAATCGCAATGCATCAATAAATAACAACTGTTTTGAGTATTATACGTAGAAACTTGACCCTATTAATGCTTTTACTCATATTTCAGGTCTATAAATTTTTTGGGTGAATCGAGCACAGGGCGTCAACGTCGCACAGATTTTAGGGGCCGCAGAGGCTGTGGCGGTCGCACAACCCGTGGATGTCGCACAAACCATGGAGGTCTCACAAATCATGGAGGTCCCACAAACCGTGGAGGTTGCACAGACCGTGGAGGCCGAATTAGTCGACGAACTCGTAGAAGTCGCATAGTGGTTTTAGGTAATAAGTGTTTTTGTTATGGAATGATAAAAATGTTTATTTTTCGTATAACAGGATAACTATTTAGTAACAGTTTAAACATGAAAAAAAATCACTTGTTTCAGAGGATATTCAATTGGTGCCACTACACAGAGATCTAAGAGACGAGAGGGAAGTTGGTAAGTATTTTTAAATACACTCTCAAACAAATAAACAGAATCTATGTTAATACATTATTTGGTACCTATATTATTATTTTT